TTTGACCACTGTTATTTAATTTGACCACTGTTATTTAATTTGACCACTGTATTTATTTGACCACTGTATTAATTTGACCACTGTATTAATTTGACCACTGTATTAATTTGACCACTGTATTAATTTGACCACTGTATTTAATTTGACCACTGTTTTAATTTGACCACTGTTTTAATTTGACCACTGTATTTATTTGACCACTGTATTTATTTGACCACTGTATTTATTTGACCACTGTATTTATTTGACCACTGTTATTAATTTGACCACTGTTATTAATTTGACCACTGTTATTAATTTGACCACTGTATTAATTTGACCACTGTATTAATTTGACCATCTTATTTTGTCTGGCAAAATATTATGGAAAAAAATGAATTATTTAGATTTCTATCAATCTCAACTATTGTATAGCAGATGTGTGTTGGCAGGTGGCTATTGACAGTCACTGGATGGCAGTAAAACTTGACTCTTTGTGGAGAACGCTTGTCACTCTGTTCTATTACTAGTCTTACAGTATATTACATGCTTATTTTTATATGTTCACAGTCCATCACAAGGACCATGCTGTAGTAGTGCATGTGAATTCATTCCAGAAGCTGAGAATGTGACTTGTAATTTGGCAACAGACTGCAACAGTGCGTCGTTCTGTGAATATCCTTTTTGATTTTGATAACTTACCGGTAATAGTAGTACTTTCCAACATGTTTGTGTACCATAAACTGTTAACCCTCTTGTTACTTTCATATATTTGAGTAATTAATAAATATATTATCAAGCAAGAGAAAAAAGAATTTTGGAATTTGAATAATCCAGAGTGATAACCGAGTTGATATTTTTTCGTAAGATTTAATTAATTAAGTGTTGTAGCAGATTCTGTCTTTTATTTTATCACTATTGAATATGTGTACAACAATGTCAACATGCCGTAGTTTTGTTCCCCACATGTTCATCAATCCAACTACTGTAAAAAGGTTAATTATTCACTGGTTTTAATTTTGCTTATTTCGCTGACTGGAAAATGGGCTAAATTTAAACTCAGTGAAAATTAATCATTTAACAGTATGTTTCATAGCCAGTAAGTATTGGTATATTAGAAATGAAGCAATTCGAACCCCACCAGATGCTAATCTACAAGCATTTGAGGGCATTACCGGAAATGATTATTAGTCCCCGTTCGGACACAGTCCGAAAACGGGGACTTACGTTTTGACCTCTGTGTGTCCGTGCATGCATCTGTGCGTGCGTCCGGACCTGTAACTTAGAAATGCCTGGACCAATCACAATCAAACTTCACACATACATCATACATGATATTATACATATGCACGTCAATTTGTTTCACAATCTGATTCAAGATGGCCGAATGGCGGCCATTTTTGTGCTAAAAATCATCAAAATCAAGCATTTCTCGGCTGTTTACAGATGGATTTTGTTCAAACTTGGTATATACATTAGACATTATAGGACCTTGATGCACATCATTTTGTTTTACGATCTGATTCAAGATGGCCGAATGGCGGCCATTTTTGTGCTGAAAAATCCTAAAAATCAACCATTTCTCAGCTGTTTACAGATAGATTTTGTTCAAACTTGGTATATACATTAGACATTATGGGACCTTGATGCAAATAATTTTGATTTTCAGA